AATGAGAATGGATTAACCTTGAAAGGTGGAAGATGCCTTATGTTGAGAAGGATATGGATTTTGTCGAAAGATTATTGGAACTCTAACAGGAGCTGATTGCAAAGAACCCATCCTCAAATAACGTTAATGAATAAAGAGAGAATTATAGGGTTAAAAGGAGGACAATCACCGAAAGAAAGTGGGAATATTGGCTCGACAGGAGGAAACATCAAGGATAGGATTAAGAATAATGGGGGAGCTATTGATCTGCTTCGACTTTGGGATATGATGATGATGATGATAATGTCAAATGGATCCACCATCCAAAGCCAGTGTAGTAATGGCAAAAGTTGAAATAAGAGGTAGAAGGGTGAATGCCATCTTAGGTTCATAGATTGACTAAAGGTCTTCTCGATGAGAATCACAAAATATGGAGAGGGCATGACATATGCTCCAACCCTAAATATTGAGATGCTTATTAAAGAATGATGGAGAGGTGTAGGAAGAAGTGAAGTACGAGGCGAATCCTTGATTTCGACGCTATAAATCTTTGAGAATAAGGGCAAAGATTAAAGAGAAGCACAAGTATTGGTAGGGAAGTTGAGCTCTACAAAGTTAGGTGAGTGTGATAGAGACATGACGGCACGATGGTGCGATGACATTGGGTGAGTTAGGGCTTTGAAGGGTGGGTAGTGGCCTTAAGTGATATGCATATGAATGGGTGCATTTTCCCTTTCAAAGTAAAAGCCTTCATTCTGCATAGTGTATTACTCAAATCTTATATTTATTAAGCCATGGACTTGATGTTAGGAGGGTTGTGTGATGAGATGGGGAGTTTTGCTTTAAAATTTGTTATGCTTATGGTTCCCAAATGGGTGTAATATGCCAACACATCCTATGAAACTAGAAGATCACTTAAAAAAGAGAATTCCTCTTTTAGCAGGGGAAAGATAGATTTGTGGATGGTGTTTGGTTTTTGGATGATTAATTATTAGAAGTTCTAATACTATTATGAGAAAATAGCTATAATATTATGAAGTTTTTGCTTATTACAGAAAGCATTGACCTATTGATTATTTTTTTAGATGAAATTTTAGTACTAGAAAGATTTTCTTTTATTCATTCACAACAACAACAACAACGTCAAGCCTTTGTCCCACTACATGGGGTACTTTTTTTTTCATTTATTCATTGTAAAAAAAAAGGAAAAAAAAAAAAGATCGAATCCTCTTCAATTTACTCCATCCAGCAATCCATATTGTTCTTGGCTGTTATTTCTATTTCATGACAAAAAAGACAACACCACTTAGATGAAGAGCACATGGCGTTGATATAATTATTTAAGAAGGCTAATGATTCGAGCAATCTAACTTAAAAATTTTTTTTTTCATGTTATTTGTCACTTTCTTGCTCGAACATGTCTCATGACTTTAATGTAGTATTTGCAAATATCATTTTATAATATAATAGTTATTGTATTTATTTTGTGTTTCTTTTTTAGTTTAGCATGTTCTGTCTCCTATTATAGCTGATCATATTTTTATTTTATTTTTGTACTTTATCTAGTGTTTGCATGTTTGAATGGATGCTATTTTAAAGGCTAAATCCTTGCACCTGAAGGCTTGTTCAAAACAACGGTGAAATAGATGGGGATATTGTTAGTAGAATTCAAGTTGGATGGTTGAAGTGGAGGAATGCATTGGGCTTATTGTGTGATAGAAAAGTACCCTTAAACTTAGGGGAAGATTTAATAAAATGACAGTGAGACTTGCAATGCTTTATGGTGTAGAATGTCGGTCATTAAAAGAGAAACATAAAACTAAATTAAGTGTTGCAAAGACGAGGATGTCAGGTGGATGAGTGATTTTACATTTAGATTGAAGTGAATATATATGTGAAAGGGTTGGAGTAGCTCCAGTGGCAGATAAGATTAAAGAGAGTTGCCTTAGATGGTTTGGTCACATAAAACGTTGGCCTTTTGATGACCTTGTTAGGAGAGTATCAGATCCGGTCTATATTAAGAAATGTTGAGTTAGAAATAATTAAACTTGATTAGCAAGTATTAAAAATGACATTTTTTATCCCATTTAAATGATAATTTGACTTTTAATAGGACATAATGAAGAAAAAAGATTCATATACCTGATGCCATTTGGTGGGATAAAGACTTGTTGTTATATGTGTCTATATATATATATATATATATACATAGTTATATATATAGTTTTTGAAAGGTTTTTGCTATAGAACTCTTGAGGGCATGTATCTAATATGAAACATTTATTGTGCTTACTAAGTTAGACCTTTTATATGTTTCTATTTAAGTGATTAGATTATTATTTATAAACTTAAATTTAGTTGACCGTTTTTTATGGATTTTAGGGAAGAGCCACTAAAATATCATTGTAGCCTATTTGACATACAAACGAACCATTTAAGACTTTAAGTTATTGTTGGGTCGGTTTCACTTCCACAGTAAATCTTGGGTGTTGTGTATAGTAAGGGAGGGTATCCATTCATATGGTCACAAAGGATAGTGTCCATGGTCATTTGTTGCTTTCATGTTTCTGTGGGCTACAAATATGCTGGATTTAGGGCTCCGAACTGCCATGTTTATTAATATAGCAGTTCTTAAGGATTTACAACTGAACTAAAATCGAATCATTCAAGAGGTAAGATTTGGGGGAAGTTTAAAGGTCTTGTATGAAATTATTCTTTGTAGAGGAATGACTAGACCTATCAATATTGGACCCGACCCGCGGGTCGGGTTCGGGTTCGGAAAACCGACCCGTTTGCAAAAACGGGTCGGGTCGGGTCGGGTTGAACAGTGTCGGGTCAATTTCGGGTTGGACCCGAACCCGACCCATGACCCGTTTTTGACAGGTCTAGGAATGACATCTATTGTTTTAGTAAATCAGTCATTTATTTGCTGGTCGAAAGGGCCCATGTCAACCTTTAAGGACAGTTAGACTTATTTTCTATACTTATTTGTTCGAGTGTAAATTGACCTAATGATGTTGAGATAATATATCACAACAATCAAATATCAAGCATAAACATTAAGTTCAGTTTGTGAAGTTAAATATCAAGCATGTGGACACTGAAGGTTTGGATCTCCATCCTCTATTAGTATATTCGACCACCTTCTTCAAAAAACTATAATGTAGATCATGGTCAATCATGATGAACCTCAATTAAGGTGTATTAGCAAATTGTCGAACCCTCTCTTCAAGGAACTCAACATTTTCTTAATTATAAGAGTACTTCACTTTTCATACGAGTCATGACCAAAGTAATAATTGATGTAATTAAGACAATTCTCCTTCCTTATAAGTCATTGACGAAACTAGCTTAGAGTATAATGCATTGTGTGCTTTAATTTAATGCTGCTGCGTTTCCTTCTAGTAATAGCTGGCCCGTCCAAGTTATGAGTTCTTGAGGTGTATTTTTATTGGCTTATAACTTTTCATTTTGGCTTATTTAAGCCTCTCCCTTCCTTAGATTATGTCTATTAAAGTAAGTATCATTTAGGTGAAGTCAATGATTTAAGTAATAAAATTTGTGTGTTTGTTTTGAACTCCTTGAAGATGGTTCATATCCTTCTCCTTGAAGTCTTTTGGTGGGGCCTTCAAAGACCTTTGTCATTACTAGTTCTAGGGTGTGGCTACAAAGTAATTCATCTTTGTGATTCTTTGAAGTAGTTTTGTGGGGTTACAAAGTATCATAGCCATCCCCCTCTTTTTTTCCATTGCAACCATCTCTGTCTTCACTAGAAGCTCTCACAAGCCTTTTTACCCACACTTGCCAACCATTTAGAATCCTCATAAAATCCATTACGTCCATCAAAATATCATAATTCCACCCCACCATCAAAATATTGTAAAACCCGATCACAATACTCTTTCACCTAAATGAACATCACAGTGAAAAGTTCAATGTGAAATTGACCCATTAGCTTACTAACTCACTTCCAACTGGCTCTTTTTTGCACCTACAACTAAATATAAAAAATGATTACTTCTCTGTTTGAGCATACCTTGGTTCAGCACAGTGTCTGTGTGTAAGCTTTTTTCGTTCATGTTACACCTAGAGTTTTATTGCTTTATATCGAGTAATCATGTTGCTTTGTTTGGGATCTAATTGGTAATTCCTAGATGAAGTTTTACATTTCTTTTCTCTTCTGTGTTTCATTCATTCCTTGGTGTAATTTTTTCCCTACTTTGATTTTATTCATCATCTTTTTTTTTTCAGCCCGGATTTGGAATTCAGCATTGTGGGTTATTTTTTTAGTGTTATCGACTATATTGCCTGTTTTTAAATCACAAGTTAAAACTGCATTTTCGGCCACTTTATTTGTATTTTTCAATCTTCACCATGCATCTCTATTGTTATTTTGGTTTGTTTATTCTTTGAGGGGTATAAATCATAATCTCGTTTCATGTTAAATTTTTTTTACTATCAACTATTTGGTTGATTGGTATTGTGTTCGATTTCTCAATTTGAGGTATAAGATTTAAATCATAAAAAAAAAGAACTATTTTTAGACTTGAATTGTAACTGATAAAGGTATTGTGATGAGCAGTTCTGCTCTTTCATTTGTCAAATTCTTTATTATGTTCAATCTTGTTTTTAATAATTGTTGAGGCTACATAACCTTGATGGAAATATTCTTAGGTACACAAATTCTCAAGGCTTAATTCCTGATCAATCATATCATCACCATAGCTCAATTATGTTGCATTGGCTTTTGAGTCCTTTGCCATTATTTAATTTATATTTATTTGTGTAATCCATTTAAGTTGAACCTTAAGTTCAATTTCACTCGGGAAGTTTGAAGATTAGATATATATGAAGAAAAAATGAAGATGAATTACTTTCTAAGGTTTAAGTTATGAATTATTAGTTTATGCATTTGTCTATTTTGCCTTGCTTCCTTAGTTATGCATGAAACTTTTTATGGCTGTTTAAGCAGTGATTTGGTTGCTATCTTCTCTGATTTGGATTATATTTTTTGTTTTCAGGAGCAGCATGTGGAGAACGGTCCTATAACTAACGATGATGTTTTAGGGGATGCAGTTTGCTATGATGAGCAAGAGTTTTTGCGCCAAAAATGCTACTCTCTGTTTGAATTGTCTCCCACCGTATGCTTTCTGCCCATGATTCGTATTACTAGTTGATGACACACTTTCTTCAAGTCATTCGACTGCATTTCTTTTTAAATACCAACATTTGTTGGTTTCTGGATTGTTCAGCTGTCTGGATTAATTTTCATGACATTCTGATCTTCAACTTATCTTTATTAAAATGAAAATCTGTAAATTGAATTCAATGTTTTTAACAGAAGAAATTATGGGTTTATTTTTTAAATGTCAAATCCTCCTGTTTACGTTGTTTTATTCTAAAGGATATTTGTCATTATATTTTACATGGAAATTGTTAATATTTGAAATTTATGTTGTTATTGTCTTTTTTAGGGGAAGGGAACTTCACAATTTCCAGGATCTCATCCTGTATCTCTGAATAGGTATACTTTGTTTCCCTCTCTTTTACTTGTAATTTTTTATCAATCTTAGTACCCTTTGCTTGGTTTGAACTATGCTATTTGTCCTCGTGTAATTGTGGACTTTATTTGTGTGTAAATCTTGGTGGAAGTATGATTAAGATCTAGTTTCAATGATTAATGTGCACTTATTATGACGTGGAGTTCAAGTTTGATTTAAAATTTTAGCTTAAAGACTCTATACACCCCCTCACACATGGAAAATTATTGCATCCGGTCACCGGACGCTGAGATAAGTCCGGATATTAATAAAATATTATTTTAAATTAAGCACGTCTAAAGCGCAGGTAAAGCGCAGGTCAAAGCGCAGTCAAAAGCGCAACTAAAGCGCAAGTCAAAAGCGCAACTAAAGCGCAAGTCAAAAGCGCAAGTGATGTGGCAAATTTTTATTGGATGTCCGAACCTATTTTCCACGTCCGGTGACCGGATGCAATAATTTGCCCTCACACATAAACACACAAGGAAGAAAAAAAAAATTGTAAGGTTGCATGCAGTGCCAAGAAAACCATCCAAGGTTGATTTATTTGACAATTTGCACTAGATTGATTGTACGCCTATGCTGTTTTTTGTTGATACTCTTTTCCTTTCCTCCTTACTAGCACTATTTTTTTGGGATAACTAACTAATGGGGACATCAGATCGTGGAAGGTTTATCAGAGACGTGGTCGTCGATCTACGACCACGATTGAGTCATTGTATTTTTGATTTGTTTTATTCATTTTCTTATTATGATGTTTTGTTGTCTTTGTTTCTTTTAGTTTCCCGTTGTACCCTTTTTTGAAGGTAGGTCGTATGTACGTCCTAGGGGCATTATCATCCTTTTATGTTTTGAGTCTTTGTAAGAGGCTATTTATAGCCCCATTGTTATTCTTTTCAAGTTAATGAATGATTAATTAAAATATTTCTTCCCCTTGCATGAGTTCTTGTGAGAGCTTGAGAAATCGGAGAGAGATCCCTAGGAGAGGGAGAATTGTGCATCACCCACCAACCTAGACGAGTCGGGTTCGTGGTTCGACTTTCTATCTCCTCCCCTTCCCCCTTCCCCCTTCCCCTACCACCGTCGGCCCTACCTCCCCTCCATCATCCTTGCCCAAACATTCATCATCACCAAACCCCTTCCTCACATCCACCGAAAATCCCCAAGCCACCCCCACCTAGCCGCCGGCTCCCCTTACCCGAACCCCAAGCAAGCCGCCAGCCTCCCTAGCCCTTGCCTTCCCTTGGATTTATTTCCTATTCTAGATTGCCATAATTGGGACAGAATTTTGAATTCAAATTCACCCAATTTGAAATTTAAAATCTTTCATAAATTATAAATCTATTTACGAAAAGTTTCCTAATTTAATCCCCAATCAAATCCTAATCAAATTTAAATTAAATTTGATTGAAGTCACTTGCTTTGTGAGGAGCTCTCTTATTTGGAAGGTGCTTAACTCCTCCCTAATTCCCTCCCTTAGCCACTAATGCTGCCGGCTCCTTCAGAGTAGGATTAGGAATTCTTTCCTAAATCCCAACTCTCCTCTTTTGAAATATTTCCAAATCTCAAACCTCCTCTTTGGCCGAAATTTTCAAAGTCCACCTCCCTTAATCACTTTCCAAAGTCTAAACAATAGGGTTTGGAAATAAATCCCTCATCAACCCCCCCTCCCCCCTCTCGCTTTTATCTCTTCCTTTGATTATTCTCAAATAAGAGAATATTTAGGAGGTTAAGAATTCTAACTCCCTCCATCCACTTCTCCCTAAGCCTCCACCCCTTGGCCGGCCACACCTTGTCACCCCCACTTCAAGTTAAAGAGAAATTTCTTTCTCTTCAACGGAGTTCAAGGTTACTAGCAATCTTTGAAAGAAATCGTCATCTAGCATTCATGAATGGCTGATCCTGACACTGACTACAGACTTGCCTACGACGAACACGGCTTCGTGCACATTCTCCTTTCAACCTTCTTCGACGTCAACCCGAGGATCGACCATACGGTTGAGGACTACATAGAACGCATCTTGGACACCTTGGTTGAAGCCATTGAAGAGCAACATTAGATCGTCGAGTGGTGGATTGCAACTGATCCTTGACGAAGGTTTTCTAATTTTCCTTTTCTCGTATTTCTTAAGTCTAATCATTTCTTGTAATTTGATTGTAGTCATGAAGGACGCGTTTGCCCGATTCTGCCGAGCTTAGTAAACATAGGGAATTGAGTGCACTTCATTGTTTTCTAATCTTATTGTTAGATTAGGGATTTCCGTTGAAAGCTACTACTTTGCATGATGTTATTTTCCTACGTTATTTTGATGATTCAAATCTCTTGATGTGTAACTTAGCCTAAACGAAAGTGACCGCTCTTATGTTTTGATTCATCGTTTTATTTGCTAATAGTTCTATTTGTTATTTCTCTAATCAATAAATTGTGCAAGCTCTTAATAAATTCATTGCAAGTATCGTAATCCTACATCACTAACTCTCGAATTCCACTTTGGGGCTGGGGTGTTTTTTTTTAAGATGTTTAACTGTTGTTTGTGGTAGTTTGCTGCGTTGGTTCTACATGGGAAGAATGGACTGCTTGGAACGTTTCCTCATTTACTTGCTTTTGCATATTTTTGGGAAGGGAAACATTCTAGGAACCATTTGACACTTCTTTGGTCTTGGTTTTGTCATCTTAAAAATTAGAGGGAAGACCAACCCCTGTCTCAAGCTTCTTTCCTATGTAAGAAAGCTCTTGTAAGGATCTTCTTATCATGATGATTTTATTTAAATGGCTAATTAGTAAGCTTTGCAATTTCGATTTCCAGCAAGCAAAAGCAATGATCTTATTTGAAATAAAAAAGATGAAATACATGGACTTAATGCAGCTTGAAATTAAAATGTTTAGAAGGCTGTGTAAAAATTGACTGCATGGACAGTGAAATGATTTTATTAGGGCATCTCCAACCGAACGTCAAACGAGCGTTTGGCGTCATTCCTTCGCTCCAGCCGAACGCCAAAAAATACTCCATTTGCTTGCGGGTGAACCTGTTCACCAACGCCATTTTTCTCTGCCAACCGGAAAAATGCGGGAAAGGAGAAGGGTCGTTACCTTGGCGCAGAAGCAAAAAAATGGCGTTGGATTGGAGCAGCATCACGCCATTTTTGCTCTTTGCGGTATTTTGGTGTGAAAAATAGAGTTCTCGGTTGGAGATGACCTTAGAGAGCGTATTGCAGCAGTTAATGAGAATGTCATAGAAAATCGATTTAAGCTGATTGGGCATTTTCAATCGAGCAAACTAATGGGGAGAATAATGGGGAAGAAATTGCTAGGATGTGTTGGAGCAATGCATAGTATAGAAATTAACTGGAAGTGCCATAAGCTGGAGCTAACCCCCACATATAGCACTTAATATAAATGGTTAGACTATGACTCATATATTGTCATTGCTATGGTAAGACGAAGACTGTTATATTATCATTGCTAAGCATATTTAACTATTGGTAAATCTTGACCATTCTTTTTCACCAATTCTCAAATTGTTCAACAAAACACTATTATTGTTTATTCATAAATTTTTATTCCTGTAAAGTATTCTATATTCACATATTATCTATTGGCCCCCACCGTTTTATCAAATCTATTTTAATCAACTATTTATATCCTTATTTATGCTTTGATTATTTTATATAACTGGTCAAGTTATATAGATTTTGTAATTTGGCATCATTTGACACTATAATATTATTGTGTTATCATTATTATTTTCCATCATAATGATAGCAAATGGGGGCACATAAGTGAAGATTATTGTTGGTTCTTTTTAGCTTAATTTGTGCAATGGAAGATTACAGTGGAATGGAAGAATGCAGATGGCAAAGACAAATAAGAGCTTAAGAAGAGGAGATTTATTGATGCTGCGGAGGGGATGTACGCAAGGTTAAAGAGGGGGGATTGAAGAATTGGTGTGGGCAAGAAATCTAGGGATGCCTATACCCCTCGCCCGCACGGGAGATAATCACCGAAACGACGAAGAAGAAGGGGAAGAACAAACTTTTACAATAAAACTAAAAAGAAGAAATTACAAAACACAAAATTTCAAGGACTTACAAACCTTGAATCATAAACCTAGGACACCCTAAAGTTGCTGCACTTGGAAGAAAGATACAGGTGGAGTGTCACTTGCGGAGAGACGAAGAGATTAGAAGCCAAGAAGAAGGTGTCCGGCTGTCACGCAACGCATTTTTCTCTGCCCAACCCGGAATTAAATGCGGGAAAGGAGAAGGGGTCGATTACATTTGTGTGCAGAAGCAAAAAAAATGGTCGTTGGAATTGGATGCAAGCATCACGACCATTTTTGCTCTTATGCGGTATTTTGGCGTGAAAAAATAGAGTTCTCGGGTTGGAGATACCTTAGAGAGCGTCATTGCATGCTATGTTAATTCGAAACATAGAAATCGAATTTAAGCTGATTGGGCAATATTTCATATCGAGCCAAACAATGAGGCGAAGCAATAATGGGGAAAGAAATTGCTGTGATGGTGTTGGAGCACATGCACATAGTATGACGAAATAACTGGAAGTGCCATAAGCTGGACTCTAACCCCACATATAGCACTTAATATACAATGGTTAACTATGACTCATATATTAGTCAATGTGCTATGGTTATACGAAGGCAATTCCGTTTTGTATTTCGGTTTATGTCTTACATAAAAGGAGTTTTCAAAAGGAGGTTGCACGAATAAGCCGATTCAAATGATTAAAATGCGAGTTTTCAAATAATGAATATGTTTGAATAATATTATATTTAAAAGTGCCTTATTATACTTGAAAGTATTTTTGTTTGTTTAAGAGTTCTTCTTTTTGAGAATTTTATTCATAAAAGACATAATTGCCCCATAACAATTATGTACACGTAATTAATATATAAATACTAACCTTTTTAGAAAAATTTTAATTATCTAATGAATTATATAATATATAAAGTTTTTCAATGTTTTAACC